ATATACTATATTTTTATTTCAAAAAAAAGGAATGAAGTAAGCCGATGCCCTACAGAAAAAAAAAAAAGAAAGAAAGAAAAAGAGCGCCTTTCTAGTTGTTGAGATGCTTAGTGATCTTATCCAAGATTTTCTCGCAAAAAGAACTAGCGTGCAGATTTACTGCTGAAACATGCTAAATAGGTGATAGGCCATTGCAGAATAGTGCCTAACAGTCTCAACAAAATCACCAATAACATGATTCTCAATATTATCAACCAAGCTGCTCTTACTCGAATTAATTTGCAATCCTAATTTAACTGTAAACACCTATAAAAGAGAGATGTATAAAGAAAGATATTCTTACCTTCAGGCATAAAAAAAGTGGTACCATCTGTAAATTATAAATGGTAGGCCCCCGAAGCATTTCTCCCCAAGAAACCCCAGATGAAATCCCTATAAGCACCTTACAGTATATGAGGTCAATCACTAATGTAAAGAAGAACAGAGGTAGAGGATCTTGTCGACCTATGCTGAGGCTTGTTCAGGATAACCTCCATTCTTTTAGCAAGAAACTCTTTGAGTTAATAACTTGATGATTGTATTCATGATAATAGGTGTATTTATTCCAACTCATAATCTAAATCTAATTATAGTCCTAAGAATTATAATCCTAGCTTCATTCCAATTTGTTAATCAAAATTTAAATCTAAATACTTGATAAAAATTCTTAAATGATTCTGAACTCTTATTAGTTTCTTATAGAAACCAAGTTCCTACCCAGTTATAGACTCAAACACCTCTTTGCCACTTCTATGAGCCCCAAAGCCCTACTTTTTTTTTCTGAATTGTAAAATTTCTTCCTTTATCAAATTGAAGCTTGTTCTCAAGCGCCAAAGTGGAATGTTTTATCATTGCTTGCTTCCTCATCTCTTGCTCATCGTTCTTAAATTCCAACAAAAATAGCTTTTTAATCATGCCTTGGGAAAAACAATTCATCGCAGTTGATGTAGAGGCCCTTCTTCCTCCTGTCTTCCATCTCGTCCTTGCTCAATTTTTTGACAAATTGCGGCAAATTAGATGTTCCCCAGTTGTTGTTTTCCTTTCGTTTTCTTTGGTTGCCCCTTCCCTTATAGAGCTTTGTCAAACTCATGACAGTAGTGACATTAGGTGATTGCTGTAACTCGACTTTCAACAGTGATATATTCTTGGGGGCTAAGATCTCAACTTCATGTAGGAGTGAGAGCTGATGCACATGCGAAAAGCTGCTCAAAACGCCGCTGGTTCTTGCGACTGGTGCCTCTTGCTTCAAGTTAACCGGTTCTGCCAATTTGTTTCTGCATATTGGCAGGCTGACTCTGAAGTTATAATAGAATTTAAGTCTTCAAGGTGAAAGGAGGTTACACCCACCTTGTATTCTTCGGCTGTCCTCTGGTGTTGGAAGAAGTGCTTGTACCTATTAATCAACCCCAGTGGATCATCTGAGTTATCATATCTAGGAAAGTCTAACCTTGCGAATCGTGGCACTATACTTTCCTCTTCTGTTGTTGCTAGAGTCGGCTAGTTTCTTCTCTTTTCTTTTTGTTGAGCTTGTGGTATTGACAGTCTCCTTCTTTATAACTGACAATTCCCAAGATAGGCTTTCAACCAAAGCGATGAGCCTGCGCAACCTCTCATCTGAGCAGGCACAATCCTTCTGGTATTACTTCATGAACGTCTCAAACTATCCTACATGAGCCTATATGAGGCTTGTGTAAGAGCACTCTTATCTTTTAGATAGGAACTCTTTTAGTTAATAACTTAGTGATTTTATTCATGATAATAAGTATATTCATAGAGAAGCTGATTGAGTTAGATCTCTATTACGATTCTAGGAATCACAATCCTAGTTTAATTTCAAGTTCTAATTTAAATCTAATTATAGTTATGGGAATTGTAGTCCTAGCTTTATTCAAATTTCTTAATCTAATATACATCTAAATACTTAATAGAAATTCGTAAATAATTCTAACTCTTATTAGTACATTAAAGAA